AAGAACTCCGTGCCCTTCGCACACTCAACGTAGCTCCCATCTTTTCCTCTTATACCTCTGGCAATCATTCCTGCGACACGTTCCTCTTCATTCACTCTTCTCCTCATGTGTTCTTCATAAAAGTAACCTCACCATGTCGTACGAGTCCTCGTCTCGCTTTCCCTTCTCCTTTACCGAGCCCAGCACCACCATTGCGTGGTCGTACTTGAGACCCAGCTGGCCAACGTAGAGCGAGACAGCCTTCTGGAGAATGTTGTTCCGATGCCCCTCTACGCTCTCATCATCATATCCCCAAATGTTGGACACCTTCAGGTACATCATGTGCGCGGTACACGAGAAGGTGAGTGCGTGCGTAAAAAAAACTTGATGCTGAATAACTTGATGCTGAATGAGCGTGTCGGGGATCCTGTCTACACAACCAACGTCGGTTGTCTGCTGCATCTCCTTCCCCACAATATTATCACATTCCTTAAAAGGCACTTCGATAAGGGTGTGACGAACCAAGACGGAAAGCACTGAGACGCTTCTTTTACCTATCGAACCTCTCACGGTACCTCGCATAAATGTTGCTGCACCAGGTAGGTCAGCGGAGTTAACGGGACATGACGAACCGGTGCACACTACTCATACCGCGTCGGCCTGCGCTGCCGCAAGGAGCGTTGGCAAAGCACACGGGCACTGCAACAATCGGGCCGTATCTAAACCGGTATCTTCGGCGACAAGGCGGTCCGTTTCTGTGGCTTTGACGCTTACTTTCTCGTATTCGATGGTGCGAGAGAAGTGCTCGTCCCTCGCTCGGAGGCTAAACAAAAACTCCTCGATGAGCGGTCTCAGCGATTCCCAGAACTTGAAAAGGCCCTGCAGGACGAGTGGGATGGACATGGCGATCATCATGTCCAGCACGACGTTGCCCGTACGCATCGCGTTGATTACCCCAACCTGTGGCAAGCAAACACGAGAAACCGGACAAAACAGGCGGATCGAAGAACATCACACACACACAACCCCCCCCACAGCAACGCCACAAAAAACGCTACACAACGCGCGGAGGAGGAGAGCAGGAGACGGACTGCTTGGCGGCCTCACTTGGCCTCACCAAAAACAATGCTGCTCGGCGGCCGCTGTACCCATCTACTTCGGGCGCCAACCTACTCTTTTTTCGGCATATGTTCGACACACAGGGAAAATGGAAGCATGTAAGCACATTTTCCACGTTCGCTTCCTCCTGCGCTTCTCTGTGCGCATGGAAGGCGCCACCAATATGGTACTGCTGTAGTAATAGCGAGGCTTCGATCTTCACGGGAACGTAACAATTTAAAACCTACTTTCTCACACTATCAAGAAGTAGAGTATACCTCCCTTTGGTTTCCCCACTGATCACATACAGAGTGAGAACTTTACGGGTGTTCCTCAAGGTGCAGGAAAGGTAGTAAATCGGTTTCCCTTTTAAAATTCCAACGTGTCCATGGAGGCCAAAGATCGAGACTGGTCCACTTTCCGGTTGAGACACGCAGCGTTGAAGCTAAATCGGTGGAGCAGCGACATGTGCGCGTTGGCATGCCCTGATGTGATACTGGGATACTGGGCCGTTCGGTCGAAGGCTGCAGCTGCGGCTCGAAAAGTCTGTGTGGGTCTGTGTCGAGGTACCGTACTGCTGTCTAGTGTTGCAGGAGTGGTCGATCTACTCCGCTGTCCCGTCCCGAACATAGATATATGATTAGAGTGCTGTTTTTGTCTTAAATAATAGAGAAGGTGTCGTGCAGCTATGCTATGCAGGCTGCATGGTATGCCGGTTCAAGAGAAGTCCCAAGCGCTGCTCTGTGTGACAAGTGCCCGTTGTGTGTATTCGCGTACTCGCGGCTGCACTACATTTCACGGCTGCATGATCTGGGCGAAATGAGACACATGATGTCATTACATTTTGTACTGCTGTCAAGAAATTTGCAAATTGGAAGGAAGAGTCCAGACCAACACCCAACGCGAAAAATACCACACCTAACACCGGAACCAACGGCATGGCTGGACCAACTCATGTGGTCAGGTTCGATATAACCGTCCCCCCTGATACATGCCTGTCTGCATGGGTACTGCGCGACAGCCAGACCTGAGACATGAGGCATGGAGGAGTGCCGATGCCCTTGCACATGCCTCAACTCACTCAACTCTCCATTCGTCCGCTCTCCTTTTCGTTGTCGTGAGACGGTCGCCCCAGAGGACATGTTCTGCTGCTTGTCAAAACAATAAATAAACGGAAGGATCATCCTCCATGGAGCATGCTGGTCCTGACTTTATACATTGGGTGTGCCCGATTCCACGCGCCTACCTAGATAGTAGATGCTAGACGCAAATCTGCTGGCGTGTACTGCTGTTGTGGTGTGAAGCAGCGTACACAGCACCGGTCCGCCAACAGACAACAGACGAAGAGGAAATTCCTGCCCCACCTGAGAAGCCACATGGTCCATGGCTACCCCTCTTTACTTTCTCAAGTGGCTTGGAGACAACTGATGATGTGTTGTGGGCGAAGATCGATGCGCCCAAAGGTTGTGTGCCTTGTGTGCACGAGAGGCGTCGTGCGCCGGTGGTCTTTCCAACGAATTTGCGCGAGGCCGCGAAGATTGTTCTGAGGACCGATCGACCGATCCCTGCCCCGAAAAAACACCAAACACCCAGCCAACAGGCATCAAACTCGCCGCATCCTAGTCGCAGAGGTCGTGAGTTCTAATCCCCATTGGCTGAAAAAATTGCAAACTCTGCGGGTGAAAGCGAAATATAGCTGAAAAGCTCTCGTGAGTACCAAACTTCGACGTTAGCACCGTTGACGAGGGAAAGGGACGGCTGGACCCTTCTCGATAAAAATAAATATTCAGCACGCACCGCAGGAGGAAGGTGAGGCATGAAAAGAAATTGTTGTTGTTGTTGTTGTTGACTTCACATTAAACCGTATGCCAGTTGCTAAATGCCAAAATCTAGCAAAGACTCTCGGCCCGTGGTCACGAAAGTGCTGGAGCCATCTGAGGATCTAAAGAACACGCACACGTAGCAAGAAAAAGGTGTACAAGAGCCCGAAGAGGTACTACTACACCTATATATAATCCCTGCAGCACCGTACGCGTGCCCAAAACTGAACTACACGTCCGTCTCACCGT